GGCAGGAGAATTGCCTGAACCCAGGAGGCGGAGGTTGCGGTGAGCCGAGATCGCGCCATTGCACTCCAGCCTGGGTAACAAGAGCGAAACTCCGTCTCCCAAAAAAAAAATTAAAAATACATTAGTCAGGCATGGTGCCAGGTGCCTGCAGTCCTGGCTACTCAGGAGGCTGAGATGGGAAGATCACTTGAGCCCAGGTGTTCAAGGCTGCAGTGAGCTCTGATCGTCCCACTGCTCTCCAGCCGGGACAATAGGATTTCCAGAAGTGATCTCATCCTTGCAATCGAAGGTGCCTTTTTACCCTAAATGGATGTTTGGGCATTTGATGGACACGTGACGGGTCAGCATCTGTCACAGGACCCGCCAAGGGTATGTTTGCTGCTACAGCTGGATCCGCACCAGCCAGGCTTCTAGAAGAAATAATGAGGCCATCCTGCGTTCTCTTGGCAGGTTTTTCTGGACATTCGCGAGAGTCCAGGAAGAAGGTCCTTGGAAATGAGCTGGTTTTCTTGAGAAAATCAAACCCTCCTTCAGCGAAGGTGGGCGTGGAGGGGCAGCCTGCAGGTTGGGCCCATTCCCAGCCTGACCCACTCTGAAAACAGGCCTTCTCCTCGGCAGGGCCCCAGTCCTGCCATGGACACCACACAGCAGGAAAACTCTCCACTCTCGAAAGACCTCAATCTTCCAACGCTGGCAGCAACTCAGATTAAAAGAAAGAAAGGAACCAAGCCCAGTGGCTCATGCCTATAATCCCAGCACTTTGGGAGGCCAAGGCAGGTGGATCACTTTGAGCTCAGGAGTTCAAGACCAGCCTGGGCAACATGGCGAGGCCCCGTCTCTACAAAAAAAAAATACCAAAAAATGAACCAGGCATTGGTTCCCACACCTGTATTCCCAGCTGCTCGGGAGGCTGAGGCTAGAGAATCACTTGAGCCCAGGAAGTGGAGGCTGCAGCGAGCCGAGATTGCACCACTGCACTCTGGCCTGGGCGACAGAGACCCTGTCTCAAAAAAAGAAGGAAGAGAAGGGCAGGAGGAAGAACAGCTGGCATTTACTGAGTGCTTTCTCTACCAGGCATTGAGCAAAGCCCTTCACATGCGTTATCTCATTTAGTCCACACAGCCTGGGTCAGTCACCATTGTTATCCCCATTTTACAGGTAAGAAAAATTAAGACTTCAGGCCAGACATGGTGGCTCATGCCTGTAATCCCAACTCTTTGGGAGGCTGAAGCAGGCAGATCACTTGAGGCCAGAAGTTAGAGACTAGTCTGGCCAACATGGCAAAACCCTGTCTCTACTAAAAATACAAAAGTTAGCCAGGCATGGTGGTGCACATCTATGCTGAGGCACAAGAATCACTTGAACCCAGGAGGTGGAGGTTGCAGTGAACAAGAATGCACCACAGCACTCCAGCCTGGGCAACAACGTGAAACTCTATCTCAAAAAAATAAATAAATAAATAAAAATAAAGAGAAGGAAAAACTAAGGTTCATAAGGTTTCAGAAGGTCAAGCACCTCACCCAAGGTCACAGAGATAATGAATGACAGAGTCAGGACTGTGTCCCTGGAGGCCCGCCTCTTGTACCCTGCTGGTCTGATGGTGTGATCGAACCTGCAGCCCAGCCTCTTCCTTAGGTCACCCTCGCTTAGGACTCCAGTCACCTGTAGGGAAAGAGAGGAGGTTCTGAAGGGCAGTGCAGAGGACGCAGCTCGGGGAGCTGGAGACACCAAGCTGCATTTTAGGTTCTTTTTGTAGGAAATCTGCCCAATTTATTGTGGTCTTTAAATACCTTCTTTATTCTCATCTCTAGATAGATAAGTGTGTCTACTCTTAATATAGACATATGGCCAGGTGTGGTGACTCACGCCTGTAATCCTAGCACTTTGGGAGGCCAAGGCAGGCAGATTATTAGGTCAGGAGCTTGAGACCAGCCTGACCAACATGGAGAAACCCCATCTCTACTAAAAATACAAAATTAACCAGGCATGGTGGCGGGTGCCTATAATCCCAACTACTCGGGAGGCTGAGGCAGGAGAATCACTTGAACCTGGGAGGCGGAGGTTGCAGGGAGCTGAGATCATGTCATTGCACTCTAGCCTGAGTGACAAGGGCAAAACTCCATCTCAAAAAAAAAAAAAAAAAAAAAAAACCAAACAAAAAAAAAAAAAAAAAAAAAAAAAAGTCACACTTAACCTATCACAGTCCCCTTTATGCTGTTACGTTTTTGGGACTGCGTGGTTTTTTTTTTAATCTCCCAAGTTTATAGTGTAGAGCCGGTACGTGCTGTGAACTGACATGCTCTTGGTGTCCATGGCGAGCACTTAAAACCCAGTTTAGTTGGGGGGGATGTATGGGGGATTGTCTGTGATCCCCGGACTCCCCGCTTGGCCTAGTGGCTTTTCTATGCGTTCAGCTGGGGTTTTTAGCAAGCAGCGGGCTGAGCAGGGTCTCGGCAAGCACACAGCTGTATCATCTCTGGAAAGGGTCTGAAGTGAGGGTCCAGTTTCTGCTGCATGAACATGAAGTTCCTTTAATAAAAGGAAGGGGGATATTTTTTATTTAACCTGTATTTATTCGTTTGACAGACATGCCCACTCTGTGTGCCATTCTGTGCCAGGCACAATGCTGGGCACATGGAGAGGGAGAATGAGCAAACAGCAACACAGTCCCTGCTCCGATGGCACTCTCTTCTGGACCAGGGTTTCCAGGCCTTAGCACTGTTGATGTTTTAGGACCCCATAATTCTGGCGCAGTTTGTGGAGGGATGTGTGGATATCTCATAGCGTCTTTGCTCTCTAGCCCCCTAGATGCCGGTAGCACTCCCTGCCTGCAGTTGTGACGATGAAAAATGTTTCCAAACACTGCCAAATGGCCCAGGGGAGGGGACAAAGCCACCCCAATTGAGAACCACTGTTCTAGAGGGAAGACAGGCAGTGATCAAAGAACAAGACAAGTGATGTACAATTACAAAGACTTCAAAGACAGTCATTCTCTGAAGGGTAGGAATACAGTTATAAGAAAGCAGTTGACAGAGGAATCAGAATGAATGATCAGGACCCGGACTGAAAATCCACTCTCTTGAGTTAATCTTTGGTAATCACACAGTGCTTTAGCTTCTGGTCATAGAAAGTTGTAATGGAATGTCAAGAGAGGGCTTTTATTTCTGTCTGATTTCAGCCTCAGAATGGCCTTTGCAACGCAAGGTTCAGCTCAGCCATGGAGAAGTCAGGGAAGATGGACGTGGCTGAGGCTTTAGAGCTCAGTGAAAAGCTGGTACGTATATCCAGCATCCAACCCACTGCTGTCCGAAGCCTGGGTGCCCTGCAGTCAGTGATAACCACGGGATAGTTTAAATAGAAACCTCACATGCCTAGTTAGTTGTTCTAATAACTCTGCAAGACCTGTCTACTATCCCAGCGTGGGTCAGGAGTCACATAGCCACATTCCTTGAAAACACGGGTAGTTAGAATGAAGTGTTTATACCTGTTGTCATTTTTCACTCCCAGTTCTTAAAAAAGGCATAGCGTAAATGGACGTGGGGAAAATGAAAGCCCCAGTGGCGCTCCTTTCAAAGCATTTGTTTGTTCTCTGCAATTGCAGAAAGTGAACGAAACAGACTTAGACGCTGGCCTCCTTAAAGCGGCCACCAGCGGCCCCGGGGAATGCTGCTTATCTGCAAATGCTTTCCTTGTAGTACCTGGAGATGAGCAAAACCCTCGGAAGTCTGATGAACATCAAGGACATGTCTGGCCACGTGTCCATGAAATATCTCTCCCCCAAAGAGAGGGAGAGGGTCAACCAGCTTCGACAGAGGGACCTCGACCTGGTGTTTGAAAAGATCACCCAACTCAAGAACCGGCTAGAGAGGAAAGAGGAGCTGTTGAGAGGATACGAAAAGGATATTGAACAGCTCAGGTACCTCGGCACCCCCACGTCCCCAGCTCGGGTACCTCGGCACCCCCACGTCCCCAGCTCGGGCACCTCGGCACCCCACGTCCCCAGCTCGGGTACCTCGGCACCCCCA